CTATTTTTCGATATGTGTTAAAGAATGAAGATGGAAAGTGCATCTCAAGATCCGATCGCAAAAATTTCGCAAGCAACCGCTTCAGAAAAAATACCAAATTAATTTTGGAAATAGAAATTAGATCAGGCAAACCTCTTGTAAAGCCTTATTTTATCACACTCTGTTTCCTAGACAATAGTAAGAAAAATAAATTTCCTTTGTTCTACAACTTCTTAAAAGTCAATATTTAGGTATTCGAAAGTTGGAAGGGATATTCATTCATACATTCATTCTTGACCGATATTAGAATAGTTTGAAATAGTGTTTTCATTTCCTTCTCAACTTTCGTTCATTTATGTCACTCAGATATAAATAAAGAAATTTATATGAAAGAGAAATCAACTTTAGAGAAGGAAAAACCAAATCTGTCATGCTAAAAGAACGATAATCGATAATTTAAAAGAACGAAAATATAGACACACCATAACATCCGGAAATCGCCGTCGCCGCGGATTCAGTGTTAAAGTGTTAACACTTTAGCGTTAACACTTTAACACTTTAACATATACGAACTCGCGGCGAGTGAGGGTGAGGGTGGAGAAGTGAGAGTGAAGTGGGTGAAGAAGTGCTCCACCCTCATCCTCACTTCTTCACCCTCAATTATGCACGTTTATCCTTTTACACTTTAACACTTTAACACTTTAACATATAAGAATCCGCGGCGACGGCGATTTCCGGATGATGCCAAAAAGCACTTTGTCATTATTTTTTCAACTCACTTGTAACAACTGCTATTTATAATACAAGTGGCTAATGGGCTCCTCCACTCTCTCGAATGAACAGAGAGAAGAACCACTAGAAAATGAAAGAAAAAATTGAAGACTATTTTTAACCTCAAAATTGATCATCCAGCAAAATCCGATTCATTGGCCAGAAGGCTCTGGAAGATGTCGGATCTTTTCCGGCGCAGATTCCGAGCAACGGATTTTCGATATGGTCGCTACCGGATTTTACCGAATTTCGACAACTTCTGGCATGTTCCGGTGTTGGATCCGGCAGGTTCCGTCAGGATCCTGACGCCGTAATGGATGACCTGGGTTAGAGTGAATATACAGCTGCTAGCAAAAAGAAGTGTGTGTATACACAGCTTTGTACACAGTGCGAACTCTCAATCAAGCGATTTCAGCTCAAAATCGGCTTTTTTAAGAGACGCTTTAGAAGACTTTCTTCAAAGTTATGAGAGCTAGGACGCGATATAAGACCCGAGTCCTCTATTGTGTCCATCCCTTTAATGTTAAATGATGACTCCAGTGAAATACTTTAAGAAAAACATCATTTTTCGTCAAGTATAATCTGTTTTATTTTCACTATCCATTGAACCACTGCAATGAATTCAGAACAAGTCAAGTTAAGTCAGACTTCAAACTTTTTTGGGCTGTGACTTAACTTGATCCAAAATTACATAATTCAGTTGTTGGCACAAATAAAATCATTGTAGTTTCTTGTTCAATTAAAACATGAGTAAGTATTTGTGGTTCTAAATGAACATTTTTTTGACTTAACGTTACATCGAGTGTATTTTATGATGTTAAATTTTCAAGAGAGATTGGTTGAGATGGTGACATTTCTGATTATATTTTCGCCATTAAAATCCATTTTCTCAATTTTTCATGAATATTCAATCGTGTATATAGCTTTCTGAATATATTTTAAATGTTGTGTCGACCAGAGAATTAATATCCTCAACATCATTCGGTTGAAGAGCTCCTAAAAAAAGAAAAAAAATACAATTGCTACTAAAATTTGACGTTTTTCATTCGTAGAACAAAAACAAAGATAAAAAACCGGTTTCTTTTATAGTTTTAGACATAGAGAACACCCTTTTTCTGTTCGCAAACAGGAATAAAATACGAAAAACTCGGCATTTCGTACAGGCGTCCGTAATTCAAAGATCAAGAGGTCTTTATTCTTTGCTTGTATATAACGTATTCGACGCAGAATTTACGCTGATCACGAATATCGTAGTTAAAAATTCATGCAAAAAACGATGCAACAGTAAAACTAAAGCTAGGATCGAACAGATGAAATTTTAATTTTTCCCGGAAGTTCATAAGCTGCATCATAACGCATGATTGTAAATTCATGTTCGTTACACAAACACAAATAGTCTGGCTAAATCTCCAAACGCCTATTTACAACATCTCTTTGTGAATGTAAGAATCTTGAGTCAGAGAAAATAGTGAGTATAACTAAAAAGAAATGGGAACAGAGTACTGGAAAACAGGTACCATCAATAAAAACAACTTTTTCTTGCTTTTTACGTGAATATCACGATTCCAGTTGTACTCTTAAAACTGCCGGCGAGTACAGTCTATCTGTTGCGCATAAAATAATTGGAAAAGCTTTTGTCCTAACTACTAAAAACTCTACAAAATAGGGCTCATGCCTGTTCTTTTACTAGGCGCATTTATCCTCAAATATGTTCTTCAGTTAGAAAAATATGTCTCAACTTCGTGCTTTACCATAGGTATTAAATGTAAGTCAGTAAACACTTCTAAAATAGTCTATTCAATGCAGTTTTATTCGTAGATTACAAATATGGCATTAGTTTTTATTAGAAGCCAAAAATTAGTGAAAAAACTTGATTTCTATTGATACCTTATAGAAAAGGTTGCTTTCTTTTACACTAATATTTTAAACAAGAAGAAGGGTGGAAAGTGAAGAAAGGAAGAGTTAAAAAAACCGTTACTTTTATCGTGATTGCGTTACCCAAAAGCGCTTTTAGTTTATTTTGCGAAATAATAGAAGAAATTTTCATGAGTTTGCTACTGATCTATCGCTAACTTTCGACGCGCTATCTGGTGTACGCTTTTGTTTTTCTCATCCAGCTTTTCTGTTTTAAAAAATGGTAACGCAATCACCTGAGGAGAAATAGGCATGTTACATGAAAAAACTATCTTCTAAATGCCCGATCGTATTGAGGTGTTGTTTGGTTTATAAGGGTTAAGCTTCTGATACTAAGTTTCTTACTCATACTAGACCCTTTGAGTCTGTCCAGAGACTTGCAGCTCGACTGATAGCTCGGCAGCTCGATTATACTACAGATAGTGTCAAACTCGCTAACGATTTAGGTCTTCCCAATTTGACTAATCGTCGTTTCTATTTTCGTCTAGTCAACTACTATCGTATTTTCCATCGTTTATGCACTTTAAACCGCGATGAGCTCATAACCAACCACCTGTCAACTTTCGGAGACCTGAGAGACTTAATACAATTACTTTTATGGTAGTAATTTAAAACTGTATTTGATTTCCTTCTAATCTCTTATCTACAAATGTATATCAGTCTTCTATCAGGTGTATGTCCACCACAACTTTTGTTGTAGTTCTAAGCCCTTATGCTTTTTGATATGCTTCATTTGACACAGTTCATCTAACATCTTTTATCATGCTTCTTTTTTTATTTTTTTTGTGTTAATAAATATAAAAGTAAAGTAAAGTAAAGAAGTGTAATTTCCAAGCGATATTGGACATGGCCAGCGATTTCAATACTCCTGCGAACGAGAAGCTACACGAACTGTTTGTGGTTTTCGATTCGACTGTAAAGCGGGCCACAAAAGTTTAAGACACTTTTTATTTTTGTTTTTTCTCCTGCAGACAAAAATGCGATATTTCAAGAATGCAAGTAAAAATCGCTGTTCCTTCGTGTTTTTCAAATGATGAAAAAAGCATGCAATCACTCATAGTCATGGTTCAAATCAGATATCAGCTGCTCAAAACTGTTTACAATACTCAGAAGGACACTTTCTGTCAAGAAGTTTCACTATCAGAGAAATATATCTTTTCAATCCACTTTCGAAACATGCTGTTTTGGGTTTCCATGACATTCAGAATCTAAGATGTTTGTCTACAATCAATTGGACAAAACAAATACAAGTTGTCGTATTTTGTGTATTCACAAGTCACCGATGTCTGTTGTCTTACAAGTCTTCGTCAAAAGTAATTTCTATACGGGAAAAGCGTCAAGCAGGCAACGGACCATCAGTGATTGAGAGTCTCGTAGTATCAAACGATATAGGAGAGCGTTGCAGAAAGAACTTGATCTTTTCGTGGGACACATTGATGATCGGAGTACTCTTCCGAAGATAACAGTTGAAAGATCTTTCGCAGAATTTCTTGGTTGAAGTGTGACTTCTGACACTCCAAGTGAACATGCTTTGTCGGTGAGACAACGCGTGTTATGAGCGAGCAACGCATGCAGCAAGGTGGTTGTTTTGATTGAAAAAGCATGTTTTATCCTCTCTGATAACACGACGTCGCTGATTTCGCTCTAAAGAAAAGAGTGTTGATGAGAAGTCTGTAAAAAGTGCGCGCCTCCTTGGTTTTGTACCTGCTGATGTGGTTCAGGAGAAGCGAGGAAACTGATTTCTGCGTTAAATTCTTGTGCTAAAAGATACAGATAAGACTGATATTCATACTAAGCCAGTTGAGTAGTTTATATGCGTGGTATTCTATTTTTTTCAGCTGCAGAGTTTCCACTCTACACATTTTTAGTTCGACGCTACTGGCAATATGCCTATCGAATACATACAGCCTTTTATTACAGAATCAAGAAATCAAATACAGTGACTATTTGCTCATATCACATGCTTCTTTGCCGTACTAAGCGTTGAATCTCGCTTGCCTAAGCTACTAACACCATCCAGTGCTGCATACTTCGCATCGGTTTCTGAGATGGTTCTTGTCTTGTTTCCTACGGCGATCGCCAGTACGATTAAAAAGAAATCTGTAATACTTGTTGCCAATCCACCTGTGTAACCATTTCACAAGACGTTGAGATTGTTCATTGTCGAACTCGCATGTGATGGAAAAAAATGCTGTTTATTAAGAGTTTTTTTTATTAATCAGATAAATAACAGAAAGTGGTTATAGTAGCTTAAGAGTTGGGGTAATTTGTAAAAAGTTAGTAAGGGTTTTTTCAGGGTATGTCATTAAGTGGTGTTCTGTAGCAGAGAAAGTTGTCTAGAGTCGCTCAGTAATCGAAAGGATATTCTGCTGAGTGTTAATATTCATTTGGTCATACATCAATTGAGTAAGACGATCTAACTTTGTGTCCAACTGATTTAGTCTATTTTGAATTCCTTCCACTATCTGAGGATTCATTTGCTGTTCATTTGACTTATCTGTATTTTCATCTTCGACAATGTCTTGCAGCTGTTGTCGTCGTAGATTTCGTATTTTATCAATCGCTAGATGAACTTTTCGCTGCACTTGACGATATTCTTGTCCTTTATCATTGCCGTTTAAACGTAGATACCATGCTTTTACCGTAAATTTAATTAGATTTCCAATATAGTACTTTCTTTCTCTATTCATTTCTAACAATGTATTATATTCAAAGACGTACTGTTGAGCACCATTCATTTGTAAGTACTGCTGAATAATTGCTATTACAAGAGCAATAGAGATTATACCCCATAAACCAACGATACCTGATACGACTAAAATGAGAAAACGTATTGATAATAGTTTGTTATAAAATAAGTTAAATATGAAAATGACAGAGACATACTTCGTCCACCGTCTGTATTGGGATAAACATCACCATAACCTAAAACGCATACAATTATAGTAGTGAAATGCTCACACTAACCTTACTGAGCGCCTACATTGCGGAACTCAACAAAGTTTACATCTGGGAATTCCATATGATACCGACCAGCGTTACATCAACCTTGGGAGCCAATTACCAACCACATTTTCTGATACAGTTTTGGACGCCGATTCCATTGACGAAAATTACAGGCCTCTAGCATTTGAACAAAAAAAGTTAGGTATAAATACTTTTACAGCGGAAAAGCGATTTTTCCAGCCAAAAAGGTCATTTTGCTTTAGTGTTTCACACCTTTATCCCCTTCGTGAAGTCTAAAATGAAACTAATCGAGGAAATCTATCGAAATCTGAGAAATTCAGCTCTGAGTTGCCGGAACGGATTTGGAAAACCAGATTTTTTTTGAAGTAACACGGATGTAAAAAAGCTTGAAAACTCTTTCTAAATTACATCAGTCGAAAGCCTTTACCAGTTATAAACAAAATGAGGCGTCAACCAACTTTTTACGACCTACCTGTAAGAGACTATCAAAAAATACGAAGAGAGGTGAAAACCGTGAGTGAAAGCTACAGATTACTTTCATTTTAATGTTAATAACATTAAAACAAAATGGTAAGTGATAGATTACCGGTCGGCTTTGATGAATCGTCTTCGCCCACGATCCACTCCACCACGTAATTTTTTATCTCTCGCGTCTCTAATTCGACTTGTGATTCAACAAACTGTTACGCTCTGCCTAACTTGTTCGAATCTTCACCAGTATGTACAAATGTTTTATTAAGAAAGCAAAAGCCTCTTCCTAGTACAGTATATGCCTGTGTATATATTGGCGAGAAAGAAAGAAAGGAAAACAGAACGTAACAGAAAAACATGGTGTAATATAAACAGTGATGTAATATACACAATGGTGTCACAGGATCGCGTGATGAGATAGTGACTATATGAAATACATTTCCTGGAAAGGAAATGTTTCTTCTATATAATCACGCAGTAGTACACTGATGCTGCAGTATTTCTGTCCATTTTAGGTCTCGTGACCTAACACAAATAGTTTCAGCAAAAAGGAATGTTTCAACAGCAAGATCATAATGAAATCTTCATCAAATTGAATGAGCTCTATGAAAATGTTAGGAAATTTCAACAACAACTAGAGACAATAAATGAAAGAATAAATAAAATTGATTAATGCTTTTTGACTTTTTTACGTTTTTAATGAAACATAGTATATTCAAAATTATAGAAAAGAATTTAAGTAAAATCCTTTTACATACAAACAGCGAATAATAATTAATAAAATTGAATCGGTCACCGAGGAACAAAAGAAACTGGTATAACAAATGTTAGCAACAACGTCAAAGCAAAAAGTAGTGAACAAAACGATGTTTCTTAGAATGCATAAAATTGATAAATCGACTGAAGATCTGACAAAAAAGGTGGAGAGAAGAACGCACAGACATGGAGATTTCATTGAATAATTGAGAGAAATATATAATTGGTGTCGTAGGCAATTATTATAACTTAATGGAGAAAAAAGACCAGTTTTATCTCATGTGATACCGACTCTTGACTGTGTCTGCCCCTTGCTACTCAATCTTTGCTTGGTGACGAGAAGTTTAGAATTAATAAACAAGCAAGTATAGAGGATCTGCTTGACTTTATTAACCACGAAGGGCGCACTTTGTGTCAATAAATCTGTGGTTTTTTTGTACTTAATTTAATGTCTTGTGTTACTTCATTTTTTTTTCTCTTTTTCTTTTCTGACTATTGTACTGACAGGGTCTGACGCTCACAGTAATTTGTCAAATAAAAACTAAAACTAAAACAAAATGGCCGTTTTGACTGGAATAGTCAGTTTTCTGCCGTAAAAGTATATTCCACCTAGCTTCTTTCGTCAAACGATAGAAACCTGCGGTTTGTACCGTTGAAATCAGGGTCCAAAACTGTATCAAAAAACTTAGTTTTTCATAATTGACGCACATACTCTTGTATAACGTGATAGGTTCGTTGCGGAATTACACATCTACTGCCGTTAGTTCCAAGCCTGACTTACCTACGGTAGTGAATGTGACAGAGTAAAGCCAACATGCTAATGAATACTTCAAATGACCTGTATCCTTATGAAATTCGCATGCTCTATAAGACCATGATCCAACTAGAAAAGCTACAATCGTTAAACCAAAAAGTGTTGTAAATGGATGTTCTTTAAAATAGATTTTTGTGATAAATGGAAAACTAAAGTGAACATTATTCATATAACCAACCAATCCAGTGCCAACATTTTCCATCACCGGCGTATGTAAAACCAGTGCACGATATACAAAATATAGGCGTAAAAACATCGGTAGAGAAACACCAACATCGGGTGTAACGTA